CTTCACTATGTTTTCTCTTTGTTGAAGTACTGTGTTCATCCATGCTTCTCCCAAGTACGGTGAGCATCGTTATGACCATTACTTTGAACTCTTTATCAGGTTAATTGCTTATCTCTCTTTTATTAGGTTTTTTTCCTGAGGTTTTATCTGAACCACTTGGAACATATTCCTGCTTCTTCATTTTGCTTGACTCTGTTGGTTTCTATACAGTAGATGAAACCACCACCAATGTGAGTCTTGGAAGGAGTGGCCTGGTATTGGAAATGAACCTTGTCATTCAACACTGTCCTAGCTTTTGGTTGCCTGTCAAACCTTTGTCATTGTCCAAGCAGCTTATTTTTAATGGCTCCCAGCAGTTGAGGGTGTACCACGGTCTGTCAGTGTCCCAAAGGGGAGGATCAGCACCTAGATTCAGACTGACTGGAAGCCAGAACCTCAGGCAGCAACTTTTAAATTATGCAAATATATAGTGCCAGGTGATCTAGAGGTGTCCTCTGGGTGAGTCACAAAAACCAGGGCTCTACATGAGTTTGAGTCTGTCTAGAGACACCAGCAAATTGTAGAAGGCAGAGGGAGAGCACAGAGATGGTGCACACTGGCCTGCATCCCAAGAGCACATCCGTAGGCCTCTCAGTGTGTACCTGAGGCCTACCTGCAGGACAAAACTCCAGGACAGTGAGTAGGCCACTTTTACAGAAGGGGAGGTGGGGAGAGGAGAGGATCTCGGTCCGTCTCTAAGTGCCCTGGGGATGGTAACTGGCCAAGAACTATCTCCCCAATGGGACCCAGGAATGCAGGCCCCCTAGCCACCAGAGCCAGGTGATCAAGGAGCCGCCTCCGAGCAGCTGCAAAAACTGGGGCACTAAACACATGTAAACGCTCCCCTGCAGGAGATACTGGCAACTCCAGAGTGGCAGAGGGGCAGTGCAAAGACAGCACTCAAAGGCTTCTAGAAAGGCTTAGTCAGCCCTTAGATTGTCTCATTGGAAGCTTGCCCCCCACGCTCCTGCTATGAAGCTAATAGGCCTCTTGCACAGAAATAATGAACTCCTGGGCCTTTTGTCTTTTGCTATGTTCTGAAGGGTGGTAGCCATGTAAGAACTCTCTCTTTTGGTTACAGTCCTGTGAGAACCTGGTATTAAGACCCACTGGCCACCAGCACCAGAGGTATCCCAACAGAAGCTAGCTGCAAAAGCCAGGATACCAGATGCATATGAAAGCTCTCCCCTGGGAGACAATGGTGTTCTGAAGCATGGCACAGGCAAAGCATAGAGATGGTGCCCACAAGGAAAGAAAAAAGAGAAAGAGAAAGCCCAGAGTTAAAAAAGTGTCTTCAGTTGTAGCAGGGCACAGGGAGCGCACAAAGATGGTACCTGCTGGGCTCCATCCCCAGAGAGCACTGCAGCAGGCCTCCAGGTGTGTGTCAGATCAGCTGCCTGCAAGGTGGCTCTCCAAGGCAAAATGAGCTGCTCCCAACAGTCCAGTTGCCCCTTGATCACATACTTGCACACTGGGCCCTAACCAGGTGAGCCCAAACATATAAGCCTTTTAAAAGAGCCATTTTTCACATTACTATCATTAGTCCTGTGTGTCTCATGGACGTGAGCCTGTTTTTCAAAGCTAGATGTTTTGAAGGCTCATCTCTCAGTTGCAGGTCATAAAAACTGGGGTGCCCCATGTGGGGGCTTCACTCCTCAGGGATAAACTCCAGGTTTTGAGTTCCTTCCAGGCTGGGGGTGACTGCGCTAGGGGTGGGCCTTATGGCGAGACTGTGTCCCAGCCTCTCCTCTCTGCTTCAGTGTGGGCCTTCTCTCATTTGCCTGTGTGTAGGAGTCACTCAGCCAGTTTTTAGGTTTTCTTGAGGGAGTTGTTCTGTATGTAGCTATAGATTTGGCCGGTCATAGGTTTGTTCAGGCAACTATGTCATCATCTTTACCCAGACCTTTCCTGCAATTTTTATTTCTATTTTTAAACAGAAATGTAAGAGGAGCCACTGCTCCGCTGTAGCAAACCCATGGCCGAGGGCCCCAAGGCTTTGTGTTTGGATCCTGTGCATCAGCTGTCACTCTGGAACACTGCACAGACCAGCTTCCGTTTTTCCGAGGCCTTGAGCAGTGGAAGGAGAGGCCTGCAAACAGCTGTGCTTTTCTCCTTCTTCTAGAGTCTATCCCACTGTGAGCTCATCACAGATGACGGGATCCTGCACCTGAGCAACAGCACCTGTGGACACGAGAGGCTACGGGTACTAGAACTTGACAACTGCCTCCTCATCACTGATGTGGCCCTGGAGCACCTGGAAAACTGCCGTGGCCTGGAGCGCCTTGAACTATATGACTGCCAGCAGGTCACCCGGGCAGGCATCAAGCGGATGCGGGTGAGCGTGGTGCCTGAATCCATGGCACCTGGCTCCATTTCTAAGCAAACCATTAAGTATAAGAATCAACCTCCATTTTCTTCATTCTGTCCTGAGCTAGTAATTACACAAATGGACCTAACCTGTTCCACAGGTCTCCTTAGACTTGTTCAAAATTTCCTTATTTGACCCACCCTGGAAGATTCAATTCTCAGATGGGTCTGAGCTGGTGGTTCCATGCAGTCTGACCAGCATCCTTCCAAGGAAAGGGACTTTCAATACGTGGCTTTCCCTCCATGTAGTTCACCCAGACTGTCCTTCATTATACTTTACATTTAGACAATGTCACATTTACACCCCAAAGCAGCCCTGGATGCTGCAGCTGTTGAGAACTTCAGTTTACATGGGGCCAGTGACTACCTTGGGCAGAAACACTATGTTCCCTTTGTCTTTAGAAGGTGCTACTTTAATGGATATGTATGTAGCTGTAGCCTACACAGAATTCTACGTGAACCATCTACCTGACGGTAAAGTGGAGTCAATTCTACCTGCAGAACTTTGGGCTTTTCTAGGATTATGCCTTTAATCCTAAAAACACCAGTGTAAAGATGATGTCTCCACTATTTTCTTCTTTCTGCTTCCTTCCAGGCTCAGCTTCCTCATGTCAAGGTCCATGCCTACTTTGCTCCTGTCACGCCACCAACGGCAGTGGGAGGGAGTGGACAGCGGCTGTGCAGGTGCTGTGTCATTCTCTGACAGCAGCTGCCTGGGCCTGAGGCTTCACGAGGTGTCCCTTCCTCCAGAGAAGACCCAACCGAGTCTTCCCGATCTCCTCCTCCATCACCCCAGTCTATTGATTCTCCATTGGGAAAGGCATTTACAGGTAAAGACTTCTGTAGGGATTGAGTAACTCTGGTGATAGCTTTCACCTTTACTCTGCTGCGATGCAATCAAATCAAAACCTTGTGTCCGTTAACACATGGTGAAAACGGCCTCAGTGCAGCCAGGACCGTGCAAGAAACCTGGGTCTGAGAGGTGGGCACCTTCCTAGGCACTAATGTCCTGCTCCTGGCCTTGTCAGCATTCCTCAAACAGACCACCAGTGATCAGTGTTAGCACAAACTGAGCAGGAAAAAACGTTGATTTTCTACCTGATACTTGATCCAGTGGCCTACTTTAATTCACAATTCCATTTTGATTAGCAGGACTTTTCCACTTTAAGATAAATAGCAACTCAATGCCTGGTAGTTTTATATGTAGAGATTTATGTGGCAAGAAGTTAATAGGTTTCCATGAGACACCAAAGAAATTAGGACTCCAGACTGGGTGGAGCAGGGTCTTCACCTTTTTGTTACTCTGTCCTGAACACTTTTGAGGACCAAAAACAAACTACACAAAAGCCACTCAGAGTTTGTGTTGCCTGACAGGAAGTTGTGTAAGTTCTGGCATATACTATAGCACATAATGCGTTTTCATTACAGGAGAAATGCTGATCATGTCATTGTTCACAAAATTTAGGGGACCTTAAGAAGAACTCATTAAGGTTTAAGTTATCTACAATATAATCAATTAAAAATAATGAATGGATGCATGTAGAATGGGTGTGATTTTTTAATCTTAGAAATCAAGTTACACCAGAACTCTTAAAAAATTAACACACTCAGATCAGTTATTTAAAACTCAGATCAGTTAAGTGTTGGCACCTTTTAGACTCATAAAAATGAATAAACCATTGCAATGCTTAATTAAGTCAAAGGGTTTTATTGCTATAATCTTATGGCAGACAAATCTTGAGCAAAACCATTTCCCAATTCAGACATTCCTAATGTTATCTTACATCTAGTAAGATGATATAGTTAGTTTCTGCTCTGTGCCATCCAGATTTGTGACCTTTGTGAAGATTAGGAATCCATCACCACTTTGACTGTGCTAACAGCAGGTGACCCTTCCTAGCAACCACTCTCCAAACAGTCCAAAGCCCATGAGACGCCTGAGTGAAGCAGTAAGAACAAGGTGTTTTCCCAAGCCTGGCACTATTTCTATTAGAGATGGACAGTTTTAGAAGCAGTTAGGATACAGTGCCTCAACTGCATTCTAGGAAGAGAATACAGATACATATAAACCCCATAAATTGTTTAACAGGATTATCAGAATGAACACTAAGTCCTGATGACTTCATTGCCTTATGATATATTCCAGTATTCCGTGGTCTAAAAATTGTGTGTACACTATAGCAGTTATTTAAACACATTTACACCACTGTGTAAAGGAAAAAATGACTGAATGCAGGAAGCTATATTTAAATTAAAGCATTTAACAGATTTGTTTCAGTGATGAAATTAGTTTCTATTTAAAAATGCATATGACCAGGCCTTCTATACATTCTCTTTAATGCGCCAGACACAAGCTATTATCACAGCTACTAGCCTTGTTGCCCCCAGCGCCTGTGACCTCATTTACAGACAGGAAAACCTCTGATAAAGTCAGGCTTGCTTCCTCTCAAGTGTAGAACAGTGACTGGGTAACATGTCCTCAGTTGCATCAGCTGTAAGGAAACAAAACAGGGGCCTCATCTCAGCACAGAGTCCCTCATTTCCATGGATAGAGCTGACACTGGCAGGAACTGGGATTTTAAATGAGACACACGTTTGCAAAACAATCAGAAAACATTTATTACACTGAAATGTATACATCCTACTATTAAAAAAACAAAGTAGCAAATCTGCTGGTGCTGTAATTTTACCTGTTTCACTTGGACAGACTAATGTTCAATGCCTCTTGGTTTAATTTCAAGTTTGATGAGCTTTTGTTTTTATCCCACTTCTAAACTGTGATGAGGAGTTCAAAATAGCACACAGCATTAAATGACATTTATCATTCCATAAATCTTGAGACTCAAAAAGGAATGCTAAATAGACAAGCACAAACTCCAAGAGATAAGCTCACTTCTTTCAAGTGATTGGTACAGAAAACATGTGGTCATACAAAAGCAAAGGAGGACATGACAGGAAAGCTCTCCTGCTTTAGGGCATAGAGAAGTTAGATATCTTCAAAAGTAAGGTGGAAATACTTAAGAGTCAGTGCTTCATATCAAAGAACCCCCTTTACGAAACATAAAATATCAAAGCTACTGAAGTAGTTCATCTTCTGAGATTTCAAACTCATAATTACTCATTCCTATTTCTGCTGAACAAAGATAAGATCAAATACATTCAAAACCAAGACACCTGGGTAAATGGATAGTGATGCTATAATTAAAATGGCCTCCAAGTTTAAAATTTTTTAAGAATTGGGGTCTGCTACACCACAGGCCTCAAAACTGCTTGCTGATGCAAGGCTGTGTGGGTGAAGGGAAAAAAGGAAGATTGCAGGAAAAACAGAACAGTGGGCTTCCTTTGAAAAGCATTCTGGCAGACAAGCATTTGGTTTTGTGAAAGAGGCACTCTTTTTATAGAAAAAGAAGCTAGTATGTGGAGCATTAAAAAACCTCTAGTCACCAGAATGTTTACCCATGATTGTACTGAAGCTAAAAATTTGAGAAATATAAGGAGCTTTTATGATACAATTTAGTGTTTGGTTTATGATATCTAGTGTACCATAAACAATTACAACTTACTGATAACAAAGACCCCTTAACACCAAGTCAGAAACTGTCACACTTTTTTCCCCTGCTGAGTAAGTCACTTATTTCTGTCTGGGTGGGGCTCTAAAAACAGGACGGTGCAGGCTGAGGTGAGAAGTGGGGGAGAGAGACAGAGAACCACATGAGTTTAAAAAGCATTGGGGATCCCAAAATGAAAACAGAAACAAAATGCTAAAACTGGAAGCAGAAGCACAAAGGTTTTCAATAAATCTGAGGCAAAGCAAAACACAGAAGTCTTTGTACCTATTAGGATCTATACTGACCCTCTCCACCACGGTACTCCTGACCATGCAGTTTGCTTCAAGCCCATCTTCCCAGTGTGGATCAATGACCTAGCATGATCACATCAGACACACACTCTAGACATGATTTCCTCTAAGAAGCTGCCAACCTCTTACCTGACCACCGATCACCGTACACGGTGTCTCTATGCAGAAAGATTCCATGTTGGCTCCACAACGGCGCTGCCCACCCACCCATCCCAGGTCAGTGTAAGGTTCAGGCAATATAAACCAAACTGGCAGAGAAAGGTAAATGCCCACAGTGCATTTTCACATTCACTTCCAAACTGCATACAGTGTAAAAGACAGCAAAGACTGCTTCCAGGAACTGCATCTACTGGCCTCTGCCAGAGGAGCAGGCAGCCCTGCCTGCATGGTGGCCACCAAGCTGCACGCACGCTGTCCCGAAGAGCTTGCTCTCTGGGGGACTCTGGGCTATGGCAGTGACAGTGAGGAGATTCGCCCCTCATACAGCTCATTAGAAAGGTCATCTTGTGTTTTCAATATGAAACATTTCATACGGTAAAATACGATCCCAAGACTTCTTGGATTCAGTCTTCACACACTTTTAAGCGTGACTTTATTTGGTACTGAATATAGTTCAGACTATGTAAGACATCACTTCAAAATTATGTGGATACCATCACCATTTTCAGCTGCAGAAAAAGGGAAGAGAAGTTACATTTTTTTGTAGCCTGGTTAGGAAGAACAACACTATTAGATTGAACACTCCCAGTAATCTACACCCTCACTCCCCAATTCAGCAGTTCCTTTAAGTAATTCTACAGCAAGAAAGCTGATTAACTTGATATTGATCCAGCTCCTCTTCCCTAAGGCAATATTGTGTACACATTCCTGCAGGACGCTCTGCTTTGCACTGTGTGGCCCACACTGCCCACCAGCAGCAGACACTGGCCAGGGCCAGGTCAGTGACACACAATAAACCAAGATAACGACCATGTAGGGGGTTAATATCTGAACCTCTCAAAGGCAGATCTGAAACATTTAAAAAATTCATCACCACGTCTGCCTGGTGGGCCAGCGCTTCTCAGGGAACAGTGAGCGGCACAGGTGCCACCAAAAGCAGAGGGCTCCTTTCAGGAGGACAGCGTGCTGGGCTGAGTGGGCTGTCCCCCGGCTGTCTGATATTACAAAGGGCCACCGCCTTCACAGAACACGGCCATGGGACTAGTGTCAGTCTCCTTAGGCACTGAGTTTTGCAGAGTTAAAATTACATTGCTTTGGGAGCTAAAAATTAAGCAGAAGAGCACTAAGCTACAGATGTTGAATAAAAGTGAACCAGTTCAGCTACAACTTGTTCTTGTAGGCACTGGATGGCATATACACTAAGTCAGGCACAAACTGAAATAAAAACTTCAGCACTGTTCTGGACCACTCCCTTCAAGAGTGACTGACAGGTAGCACATGACATCTTGCTCCCTGAGGTGCAGCTTTTAAGGCTGAATTTAGATGTTAACCCACTGGATTTTTTTAAGTCTCGTAAGAGTTGTGCATTTAAAAATCTCTCCTTTATCCAACCACCTTAATGGGCACTAACTTGAGCTCCATCCAGGCTGTCCTTCCACATTCTCTCCCTAAATGACCTCAATGATTTGAGTCACCACTGTCAAGCTGAAAGCTTCCATATTTGCCTCATTAAGCACAGGCCTGTCCCACCTGGGTGTCATTAACTGACAACGTGACATGTCTACACATCTGAACTGGAACTCCTGACTGGACAAGACAGTTCCTACCTTCCTCTCTACCTGGACCATCATCTGCCCAGCTGCTCTTTACAAGGGTCACAACCACTCCTCTCTGAAATGAGAAGCCCAACAGGGCCCTATCTATAAATGTGTAAGATATCACCACCTCCCACCTAGACAACCTCTGCCTCCAGTTTTCCCACCTATTCTGTCTCCACAGAGTTGCAAGAGAGGGAAAAAAACCTAATCACATTACTTCTAGTTTAAATGTCACTGACTTCCCAGTGCATTTCGAGTAAAGTCTAAACTACCATCACCACCAGGTCTTGCACCCTAGACCCTTGCCACCATCTCTGACTCCATCTCTGCCCACCCTTGACCCTGTGCATGGCAGCCACATGGCCTCTCAGGCCTCCAAAGCCAAGCTCCTTCCTTCACACCCAGCCCCATGCCACCCAGATGCTGCTCCTCTGGTCAGTTCCCTGTCTTTAGTTTCAGTATTCATGACACCCCCGTCTTTAGTTTCAGTATTCATGACACCCCCTAACAGCTTCATGTCCCCCTACCCAGACCCCCTGATCCTTAAGTACCCCACAAATTCCCATTCCTTCACAGCACTTGTTTGTAATGACATGCATCTGACGGCCTACTCTTCACCCACTACAGCAGGCCTTCCATGGCGTCTGCTTTCTTCAAGGCCTTTTTTGCACCAAAAGCATGGGGTCTGACACAAGGTGCTCAGTAAAACAATGGGTGAATGAATTGATTTTTTTCCCCCCAGTCATCTGGAAGGACTGACCCCTCTCCTATTTGCTAGTTAATTTCTACTATAACCACTAAAAATACTCTCATTTTTCAAACTCTTTAGTAAAGCCAGCATGTTCAAAAGTACACACAAGATCAAAGGCATGCATGCATCTTTCATGATTCCAGCATTTCATGATACAGGCACGCACATGAAGTACCTTTCACTGTGGAAAATAGAAAACAACTCTCATCTTGGAAGTTCTGAACCATCTAGAAGGATAAAGCAGATACAGAATTAAGATCCAACCATCCTTTCATAACTGATTAGAAAGACTGAAATTAGTAGTTAAAGGAAAATACCAGTTATACACTGCACCCAGCAGGGCCTCCTGCTAACTGCTCCTGCCCATGGTGCCCCCAGGAGCCTGCCCGGCTGGGGGTCACTGCGTTCAGTGCTCTCCTGTTACTGCTGGCTTGTCAACGAACATGGGTCGGTAAGGGGTGGGGCAGAATGATATTAGTCATCAAATAATAGACAGGAGGAAAACACATCCAAATGCCTCTCTACATGAGAAAGGCCAAAGCCCCAGGAACCCAGAAGTCCCAAGTGAGGGGTGCTGATGGGGGCTGGGGCAGAGGTGGGAATCCTTGATTTGTATTCCTTCTATCCCTAGGATACCAGAAACTCCAGGTTATAAATTCTTACAAATTTTGATCCCCAACTCTTTGAAAATTATTCTCATGAGTACTTGCAAGAGGCCACAGACTTTTCTATAGCTCTTCAATGATAGTTGAAAATAAACACCATTGTGAAAGGGAACACAAATGGACTTGGCAGTTCAAGTTACCTGATCGCTAACAATAATGTGAATGCCAGTAGGACCCTGTCTGTAAACCTGGTTAATTTGGTGGAAAGGAATATTAAACACCAACGCAAGTTTTCGAGCAACTTCTGAGGCAACCATTTCTTCCAAGTAGATTGCATGATAAACTGAAATTGAAAAAGAACAGCATTTTAGCAGTAATCTTTGATCCTTTTTCCACCCAATCCACAGGAAGAGCACATCTTTCAAAGTGTTAAAAATATATTCATAAAAATTAAAAATGGAACTTCATTCCCCCTACTACCCATCTAATAATATGCTATATTTGCTCACATACATAATTCAATAAACATGAACAGCAACCTCTGAACAAAAGGATTTGTGGTTTTGATTTTTCTTAAAAACTAACAGGAACTGACTGCAAATAGGCACAGGGGATCTTTTTGGAGTAATGGAACTAAAACTAGATTGTAGTAATGGCTGTTAAACTCTTAAGTTTACTAAAATACTGAATTGTATGCTTAAAGTAGGATTTGATGGTATATAAATTACACCTGAGGAAAGCTGTTTTCAGAAATGTTTCTAGCGATATATAAAAAGGTCATAGTTTTTGATTAATCAATCCTACCTTAAGAAATTTATCCTAAACAATAAAAGCTACCTCTCCCCCCTTTTCCTCTCCCAAAGAGTTAAGAACAGTGTAAGAGACACCACGTGAAAAGCTAAGGATGGGCCGTGAAACCTGCTGCTGCCTCTCAGAGAGCCCCAGCCACAGCCCGCCGGAGTGCTGCCTTTCGGGACTGTATCGCTCAGCAGCACACGTCATCTGCACAGCGCCATGCACGTGGAGTCTGGCTCTTGTAGGTCTTGCTCAGTTACTGATTCAGACACTGATCAGGAGTATCTGTGCTAGAACTTTGCTTCAAACAAGGTTTTGTTTTTTTTTTGTATGTGTGTATATGGGTATGGAAACCTTTGCTAATTATATATTATGAAAAGCTTAGAATTTTGAACTGCAATTAAGGTAATACTACAGAGATGATCCAGAGCAGGGATCACCAAACCACAGCCTGTGCAAACCCTGCCCTCCACTTGTTCGTTTAAAAGGAAATTTTATCAGAACATGGCCACACCTACTGATTCCATACTGTATGGTGGGCACTATAGTGGCAGGCCTGAGGGTAAGAGACCCCGTGGTCAGCAAAGTCGAGGCACTCACTACCCGGCCTTTTGCAGAGAAGGTCTGCTTACACTTGATGTTGGGATAAGGTCACCAGGATCTCTCCACACCCCTCCACAAAACCTCATGTTAGAGGATACACCTTCCAAAACACCATGATCCTAACCACATATAAATGATACAGGCGATCTCAACGATACAGGGAAAGCTCTTTGAGAATTGTTGTCCTTTAAGACTTTGTTTTTGTTATCTTTAGTCTCAAAACTCTTTGAAGTCCAAATGACACCCAATGGAAAAGTTCACCACTGCTCTCCTTGGGATTTTTCAGAGAAATTCACATCACTGAGTAAATTTCTCAGAGCTCTACCCATTTTTAGAGCAAAAAACTGCCACGTTGAATTCTCTAACACATTTTTTTCTGGGAAGTTCTGAGAATGTTGCCCTCATTTTGTTTCAGAATATAGGAAGAAGGGAGATATTACACATACCCACCTTATACATTAGAAAGCATGCCTTAAAAAATGTTTTTTGTTTTTGTTTTTTTCAAGGACCATAGTTAGAGGAGGGGAGAGGGGCCAGGATTTTTACCTCCGCCCTAATCCAGCACTCTCTTACACAATTAAGGGAAACCCATAGGATAAAAGGCCCCACAGTACTCAGCTGGGTAATGACATAGGGTACATTCACGAAGACCCAGCACAAGGCTCACCACATGGAGTCACAGGGCTGACCAGGCCTCATCTGAGACAAGTCCATACGCTTGGTATTGTTACGTATATGAATTTCTGCACACGTGATAGTTTAAAGTTTTTCCCCCAATTAGTAAAATGGAAAAAACCCTCCTGCTTTCTTGCCAACCTGCCAATGTTACTGTCATCATTTCAGCAAATATGAGATATTTTGGAGAAGCCAGCAAAACCCCAAAGCACTCAAGCTAGTTCTTCACTTATTAGCTATTTCTGGTGTAAAGGGCTTTGCACAAAAGAGACCCACAGTGTGGCTGAAAGTACTGAAAAGCGTGCTAATTTCCTCTTTCCCCAAAGACGTGGCCCTCAAGCTGCCGCCTCCCACTGCTGCTGGACTCCTGCAGCAACCTCGGCAGCCCTGACACCAGGGTCCTTCCCAATCCTGCCCGAGGTGCTGATGCCCACCGTAGGGTGTCGTGCCACCATCCTCGCCTCCGCTGCCTGCAGCCTGCTGCCCTTGCAGGGGCGCACTGCTTGGCTGCTCCCGGCAGACATAGATGGTTAAACGGGGCCTGACCGACCTGCAAGCACAAGATGCCACTCATGAGCCTAGGAGACAAAGCTGCCTCACCACGTACAAATGACAACTACAGGAATCTAAGCTCTATTTCCTTATGAGGACTTTACAATGTTACTTCATTATACAAAATAATTGACTAATAGAAATATAAAAACACACACCTCACACCAACTATCACAGGTGGTCTAATCTGATGATCCAGACTCTAAACCACTGAGAGGCTCTGTCAGATGCTGGTAAATTTAAGTTTCAAGATTAAGTCAGCAATTTGAAATCAGTAAGATTCAGTTTTAATGGAATTCTCACACCACAAGTCTAGAAATAGCAGTGATAGTAAGAGTAAATGGACCTTAAAAGCCAGCACAGTTTATGGTTCTATCATTTTAATTCACATTTATAAGTTTACATTTTAATAACTGTTTAGTAGTAATAGTCATACAACCTTGAAATAGATTCTGGATAGCTCACCTAAATGAGAAGTTTGTTTTCTTGGCAACCAACCCAGTCGTCTTCAAGCCCAGTACTGCCCATGTGCATTCTACCAGTCTTACAGTCTATCTCTGCCCTCAGGGCCTGCATCATATGTGGGCCTGCCCTGAGGGTGCACACAAAACGGCCTCCTTGTGAGCGCGGGTGCTGCCGATGTGCGGCAGTGCACACTAGCACACGCCAGCCAGGCGTGGGGACACTGCCCAAGTTCCCGCACGAAGAAAGAGACATTCTTACTTCAAGATGAACAGTTCCTTTTAATCAGCATTTTACCTGGACTTCAGTGAATTATAGAGCCGAATGCCATCGGCTGCACCACAAATTTGTACTAAGTCCTCCTTTGTCAGTTTTAGTAAGTCGGCACCTGGGGAACAGCAGAAAGAGATTCTTCTCAAAGAAATGGAAAAAGAACTGGCAAGACTGCCTCATGGCATCTGTCTTCACACAGCTAAATGTCCTTCAGAATCACAGCAGGTCGCCTCTGCACGTGTTTATATGAACACATACACACACACACCACTCAGAGCCAAGAAGCACTGGCTCTGCCATGTCTTATATGCAGGAGGAGCTTAGGGAGGTCCAGAAGCTGGTCAGTCAGATCAATGAGCAGGGCCTACAGGACTGTCAGTGCCCTACCTGGGACTTCACCACCTACCTTATTTTGGCTGCATGGTGGCTGTGCAGATAAACGAGATTCTGACCCCAGTTAACTCACCTCAAGATCACCCAGACCAGTCTCATTTTACAAAAAAAAGAAATGGAGTCCATAGTTTTGGGGATTTGCCCCAAGCCACATGAGGTGGTAGCAGAGCTGGGACTGGGCCTCTACATAACACGCAATGTAAAGTCACACTGTAACATCGCAGCTCTGCCACTGTGGCTGGTTTAAGCATGACGGCACTGCAGAGCTGCTTATACCCGCAGACTGCCCCGCAGGAACTCAGCACTTGTGAATGACATGATTTATAACAGAAAGGCGGGGAGCAGAGAGCAAGTCTGACCAAAAAAGCCTGGTCGTGTCTGACCTGAGGGACAGCTACACGGCGCTCATCAGTCTTCTCTCCAATTATTGTTTGAACGTATCCATCATCTTTTCCCCTTTTATTGACACTCAAGACGTAGTTTACTGGGAGAATTAAGAGGCTCTTGGGGTTAAGAATGACTTCTGTGTAATAAATACCTGCTCACATATTTAACAGGGTAATATCTGTTTTTGAGGGCTTGGCTCTGAGAGCCCAGTAACTCTCTGGTTTTTAAAAGAGACCAGAAAAGCACATCTTCATGAGGCATGAGCCCCAAGGGCGTCAGGTGGCAAAGCAGGCCCTCTGTCATCTCTGCTGGCGCCCATAGCCTGCATACCTGTAACCGGAGATACATGTGTGTGCGCATCCCAGAGGACTGTGATCGCTCAGAGCCTCAGCTAGAAGCCCCCCTTTCCTCCTCACCATTCTGCTGGTGGGCAGCTCACAAGGCAGGGAGACGCAGAAGCCAAGCCATGCAATCCCTGCCCACCGTGAAAAGAGCTTTGAACTCTAGATAGGCACACATATCCACCTAACCATACAACACGTGTACCCTGGGCCCACCCTCAGTCCAAGCATTGGGACTCTGTGTATGCGCTATGCTTTCGTCTGCCTTCCATGAGAGGGTTCCAGAGGCACTTGGGAAATGCTAGCGCTGCCCTACTGGCATGTCTATCACTGTCCCTCAAAGAGGTTTCCTATGCACCATGTGGAGAAGCACTGCTCGGTCACTCCCAAAATCCCATGTGAGCACCCCATTAGCTTTCTCTGCAAGAAGACACTGCAGTACCTACAAACCATACCTAAGAACATTCATCCATGTCCCCCAGCACAGCAATAAAGAGGAACAAACTGTTGATACAACAACTTGGATGGACTCACAGGCATCATGCTGGGCTGATAAACAGCCCATCTCAAAAGGTCACATACTGTATGATTCCATTTATGTAACATTCTCGAAATGATAAATCATAGTCAGAAAGCAGATTAATGGTTGCCAGTGATGAGGGTGGGAGCAGTATGTGTGGCATGTAGGAAATCCCTGTGGCGCTCGTCAATTCTGTATGTGAGCTATGGGGGTGGTCACACGAGCCTAGACCCGGGATAAGGCACAGAACACTGTCCACATGCTGCACCAGTGCCAACCTCCCGCACTGAGATTGTGCCATGATCACACGGGATACTGAGTGAAGGGCCCAGTGGGACAGCTTGGCACTACCTTCCCAACTTACAGGAAAACAAAAATTATTTCAAAATAAGAAGTTCATGAAATGAAAAAACTTGCACAGAACAGAACCATATACAACTTTATAAAAAACAAGGGCACATAAAACTGGTGAGCAGCAGTTTGCACTGACTGAATTTCCTGACTTCCATGGTGTACAGGAGACACACAAGGTACTCCTGGAGAGACTTAGTGGCACGTACACAAAGGCTTGCCTGTACGTGTACACAACTTCTCAGGAATCTCTAATGACTTCAAAAATGTTTTTAAATTAAGGTTAAAAAAACTACAGAAACCAGCAAGAAAACATACATGTGCTCACGCATACCTGAAAAATTTGAAAACAGTCTTGTATAGGAAGAGAATCTGTTTTTGAGCAGCCACTGTTGTGTTTCCTGGATCGTGGCTGAAGACTGAAGTTGCTATTAACAATGAAAATGAACATAATATGAGAAACCATTCAAACTTACCAAAAAATAACCCAGGTCCCCAGCATGTTATAAAGAACATTTAAACAAAACACAGAAATCCTCCAATTTTAAAGTGAAAAACACCCAGGAGCAGAGGTCTGGCTATCCTGTGACCCAATAATGAGGCAAGCCCCTGTCAGAGCCTTAAAAATACAGGACCCTTGAAACATCTGATAGTTTTAGGAGAAAGATACTTACTTCACTAGAGACCTGTGAAACGCCATCTCCCTGATGATTTGGGGAAGAGGAATTGCTGGGGGAGGGAAGGAAAGGATGCTTGTTATAAGTTTTTAATCAAACCTTTAAAGACTATTAAACTAGGTAAATTTAAAATAATACCATGGGACAGAGTAATGTACATCAGCAGTAAGAGTGCTGGCACAGCTGGTCAGGGAGTGAAGAGGAGATGGGTTAGACACAAGATTATTTCTTAATTTGTGCCTCCTTCTCCATCTCCTTCTAGAGAGAAAATTCAAGTATTATAAACAAAAAGGTCTCTATCTCCAGGGTGCCAAGAAAATTAAGGATACTCATTCATTTTAGATAGGAAAAAAACATGAGAAAATAGATAAACAGCTGAAAATAAATGCAAAAATCTTTTATAACGAGCCACAAGAAATGGTATAATGAGACTAGGCCTATAACAGAAAATGGTATCCCTTTAATCAATGTATTTATCCATGATTAAAGAGAATGAAATTCAAGAGACAAACTTACACACTAGCTTGTATTTCTAAGGTAAAATGAAAATGAAAACCAGCCCCAAAGCAAACATGGCCCTCATCCTGGTCCTGGGCTCTGACTCTGCTCCCAGTGGCCGTATTTCAACTACTTAGGCTTATCCTGTTGACTGTTTCCTGTCCTCCACATCCGAGAATGTCAGTTCCTCCGGTCAGGGATGTGTCTGTCCCTTATATATTATGGCACCCAGAACAGTGCTCAGGCAACCTTACATCCATAGTGGGTTTGTGAATTCACAGCTCATCTCTAAAACCCAGTTCATCTCCTAAGGTTATTCAGCCTGGGCTGGGGAAGCAGAAGGGCCTCTGTGGTGACCTGCTGGTCCCTGGGCTCTTCATCTTGGCATCCGGGAGTGTTTCTGTACACTTAAAGCCCAATAACCCATACAAACGAGCTGCCTCATCAGCCTATCTATCTCCTGGGGGGAAAGCATGTTTTTGTTTTGTCATCAGACCGTTACCACCTGAACATATGTGTTCCCTCAAAATTCGTACACTGAAACTTTACGCTGCAGTGTGACCGATTATTAGGAGGTGGGGCCTTTGGGAGGCAGCAGATTGGAGGAGGTCCTAAGGGCAGCACCCTGGGAATGAAATCAGTGGCTCTGCAAGAGCGCCAACAGGGCCTGCTCCCACTGCTCCACTCTCCTCCGTGGGGGGCGAGGAGGCTGCCATCAGCAATCTGGAAGCAACTGCTCCCCAGGACCCACTGAGCTGACACCCTGATCTCGGATTCCTTGCCTCCAGAACTGTGAGAAATACATGTCCTGCTACTGCTAGGCCCCCAGGTATGTAGAATTTTCTCTCAGCAGCCTGAGCTAGGACAGAGCATGACCATAGTATAAAAAGGAGCACCTTTCCTTTGTAGGCTTTCCTAAATTCTTATCCACAAGAAAACTGTCTAACAATAGAGAACTTCTGATCTGACCTTCTAGGCACTAGGTCTTCAGCAAAACCCCAAAGTGGGGGTGCACTTTAGGATGTTCACAGTGCGATCTGCTGCCTCCCTGGGGTTCACAGGTGCTCAGCTGCCAGTCAAAGGCAGACAAGAGAAGAAACAAAGTCCACCAACCCATTTCTAAAGCCAGAGGAAGTCTTTAAAAATAGAAAGCCCTTCCTTTATTTTTAAAGACTTATTTAAATATATATATATATACACACATATACACACAGTGTGTCTATTGGGAGGGAGAACAGGGCAGACACTAACCCTTGTTTGATGAGGTGAACATTGAAGACCAAGGTACTTTATAACCATTATGGCCTTGCAGATCTACACCGGCTTTTCCCAAGTAACCACCGTCCTTTTTATCTCATGAAGAATACATCGTGAACACACCCTTTCCTAGAACCTCCAAGGCTGGGAATGTGTGAGGTACAAGACAGAGGCAGGCAGCAAACAGCTGGGGGTGGAGGTTACTTCCCACTGCCCCCTCCTCAGAGAACGAAAGGAGGCTGCTGCAGGTGAAAAGGGAGCGAGGGCACAGGGCAGCCACCTCAGGCACACAGTCACGCATGCACACCAGGTACCTGTCAGGGACGCTGCACGTGCTTTGGGGTGGGGACGTGAAGGCAGGTGCTGCCGAAGGGCTGCTGTTCACATAGGCTGCAGGGGTGTCGGGCCACGGAGAGCACTAAGGACAGAAACAAAACCAAATTAACGAGATGCCTGTAAAGTCTGTGAAGAAATATTTTTGTAATTCACTCTCTAGTCTGGCCAAATGCAAGATTGTAAAACACAAGACACCTGACACTCCCCAAGCAACCTCACAGAAACATGTCAAACTGACTGCTGTGTGGCAAGGAGCAGTGTTACCTGCTACACGCACCTAGACATTGAGCAATCCTGGAGAAGATTGGAAGTGTCGACAGCAGCAAACATTTACACAGGCATTCTGAACGTGCACTGACGTACACTCTGCTTTCAAGAACTGTCATCTCCCTCTCTCACTATCCCAACAGGTATGTATCAAGGTTTAAGAAGAGCAGAGGCAAGGAGGGGCTCGTAACCAACATCTGGTCTACCTAGCTCCCTGTGCCCTCTTCCCAAGGAACAGCCCCACAAGGACCCACTGAATGTCTCTAAGTTAACAGTCCCTAAGGAAGATGAGACAGGCCCAGCTTCAAAATACGTCGGTAGTGCGCGGTACTGTGGCAGCTGTGTACCATCTGCACGTGTTTATTATCTCGACTTTCTAGAAGGGCACGGTGAACTAAAATACTTCTCAGTGCTAGGCACAATTCCAACCAAAGACAAAGCAAAAGACACTAAGACACACCGACTCTCAGGGTGAGGAGAGGCGAACAGGCTGAAGTCAGAGCACGCTGTGCAGGCTGGCAGCATCGAGGGGAAGCCCAGTCTGAGTTTTGGAGGGAACCACTCCTGCTCACACTCACCTGCTTCACCAGCCCTGGCTTCCAGGACCCCTTTCACACTCACTCTTCTCCCATTTTACACAAAGAAGGCATCGTCTCTCACCAAGGCTGTGGGGTATACGACTCACCAAAACCAAACAATAGACATTCAAAGGTACTAGGGTAGATACTAAGAAAGGACATGACTCTAAAAAAAATTCCTCAATGCATTCAGTGGTTTTCAATTCTTTGCTTTCAAAAGAACTCAGAAGACATACTGTCAGCTGATACATATTGGGTCTACTAAATCATACAAGAACACATCACTGGAATTTTGGCAGATAACTCAAAAGGACTTCCAAACCTGAACAATACTGAAGAAAGAAAAACAGACATAGCTAAACACATTTTTTCTCACCTATAAAAAAACTTTGAACACAGAGAAGACAAGTTGGGATTCTGCAGCATCTTACTCGCTGATGGACAGTGACTGTAATGGGGTTTGTCAGGGGGACTTGGTGAAGGGGGGAGCCTAGTAAACATAATGTTCTTCATGTAATTCTAGATTAATGATACCAAAAAAAAAACAAACTTTGAATTTAATTATGTTCTACTCTGTCTCATCATTCAAGATGTGTTCCCAATAACATTTGTTTTTATATTTAACAATTATTCATCAAAATTTGTATCCGTATTGTTTTGATAAACTGATACCTAGAAAAAAGTTTCAAGTTTCTCAGCTGATTTCAGTGACATATGGTAAAAGAAAACTTTGAAAGTTAAATTTCAATTTAGATAAATTTGTCACAAGGGAGTAATTAGGGTGATCATTAAAAGATTTTCAGGTTGTTGCCATAAGAGAGGGAGATGAGTGGAAGGGTGAAACAGATGAAGGGGGTAAAGAGGGACAAACTTCCAACTACAAAATATGTCTTAGGGATGGAACATAGTCAATATATTGTAATAACTCTGTATGGCAGCAGGTGGTAACTACAGTTTACTGTAGTGAGGATTTCATAATGTATATAATTGCCAACTCACTGTGTCATCCACCTGCCAACATAATACTGTTTATCAACTATACTTTAACAAAAAATAAAGGAAAAAAAACTCTACTCAAGTTAAAAAAAAAAGTTCAGGTGTAAAAGTACGTCATGTTAGGACAAAATTATTTAAGGGGAGTGGAAGAGAAAACATGAGATCAAGCAGGAAGAACAGAGTAAAATTTAAGATTTAACTGAAGAGCTTCATCATGAACTTTTTAAATGAACAATGCAGTGTCAAACTGCTACAGTATTTAAATCCCAGAGAATCGAATTACATCTCAAAAGCAATGCAGTGGTTTTATCTTAAACTGTATATAAAAATGTTCACTATGCCAGAAAATTCTCTCCTTGCCAACTATATTTATGATGAAAACTTTCAGATGTCAACCTTCAAATGTACAAAGTTGTATATTTTCTTTCCAAACTGTTTGGGGTGTAGAAGTGTCAGCATTCTAGTGTGAAGGAGCTCAGAGACTGTGCAGCACTCCGCGGGCAGAAATCACATCTCCCAAAGGGCTGCAGGTGCTTAAAATGAAGCATGAAGGAAATTAAAACAAATCCCAGAATCTCAATATTCCTTACAACCACATCATGTAATCCTTCAAAAATAAGAAAAATGACTGCAGACTTACTGCTTTCAGCTATTGTCAACTTCCAAAAAAGAAACTTAAATCAATCCAGACAGCACCGCCACACTGACCATAGGGCACCCCAATTTCACCACCAGTCACGCTCTTCATAATATGGCCTATTTTAAAACTAGGGCCTATGTTTTCTTTCCATCTTACAAAGTAGCACCTCCACAGCTGATAGGGTCTGAGGAGCCCATGCCCTGAGCCGCACACCCACGGCCACCTCCACCACCAGGAGAAGAGCTTCCGGCTACGCCATCCGCCCCAGACACAAGTGCTACAGTGCAGACTCACACACACACCTGAATAATGTGAGCCTCTGCACACCAAGTCTCCCCAAACCTGCCTTGCTCATCGTTACTGCCAGCTACTGAAACTGATCAAAAGCTTCCAGTCCTCATCAGTGTCACATGGAAGAGCCACCACACTGCTTGCAAGTCCACAAACACACCCATTTCACTTTTACACACCTAGATTCCTTCAGAAGTGGAAAAAGTGGGGCTGCTAAGAGTTAACATCTGATACCTGCCCAATAAATATGAGACTTGATTCACATGGAACCAGTGGAAACTGGTCCTGGCAGGAAGCCTCTCTTTTTAGACAAAGACAGCTTCCCTGCCCTCCGTGGCCAGGCCCACAAACACCAAGACCTGCCTGCTTGTGCTTTATAGGCTTCTCGTGAGTGTCAGCCCGGGAAGGGAAAGGCAGACCAAGGGGTACTTTCACATGGTTTCTTTTACCTGGCCATTCTTCCAGCGTTAAGAGTAAGCAACAGTGTAGGCCCTGTGCTCCTGAAGACAATCTAATTCACTAAGGCTCCAGCAATACCTGGCCTGGGCTCATAGGGTCAAGGTCTGGTACACTGTGAACAAAGCCCCTCTCCAGGCAGATTAGAAAATAATGACTCATCTTAGACTGTAGAAGTTGGCAGCCCTGATCTGAGCAGATAAAATACAGAACAGAAGCAAAGACCAGCAGACACACCAAGGGGTTTGTTGTCTTAGGAACCAGCAGCTGGGCCTCTACTCGATGCAGGGCCATTTCACAGAGCACCTTTTTCACTTCAGCAGACAAGGCCAGACATCCCTTCTACTGAAAGCCAACTGTCACTATCCAAGAACTGTAAGGAATGGTGGCCTTCCTCTGTAGGCACTTGAAGAAATATATGAAGTACTTCAAGACATTTTCTGTAAGGATTAATCTGTATCCTGCTTCTGTTAAACAGGTTTTCAAGAGCTCTAACCACCCCTCAAAGTATCTGAACCAAACCAAAGAAAGGCAGCCCAGGACAGCAAGCAACACGCACCAGGAAGATGTGAAATCCCAGGCCAATGAACTGCTGACGTTTTGCATACTTTAGACTTGTGTTAAAAATTGGCAATAATTTACCAACAATTCTACCATCTTCAGATTAGCTCTGGGCTATAAAAGATTTCCCTGTTTTATGAATTATCAGAACCCATCCCTTTTAATTGGTCAGGTAGTTTATAATAATGGGGGAAAGATGATTATTAGTTACCAGCATCTCCCCCAAAAAGTTTATTAAGAACCATTTGTGAGTCTTTAGTTGAGAAATCAGAAGAGGATAAAAACGTAAAATTGGAGGGTGGGCATTTGGGGGTAGAGTATACAGCTGTTACAACCTCGGATTTGAATCCAAAAAGCCCAGTTACAGAAAATGCAACATGTGTCCCCATCCACTAGGCTGAGCATTCTTAGTCCCACTGGCATGCAGAAGCACTTAAGATGTTTTAACTTGATGCTTTGACTTGGAAATGAGGTCCTTGTGATTGTCCTAGCCTACAGATAATTATAGACACATGCATAAGAGAGAAAATTCCATTTTTAGCACCCTGATAGTACAAACCCTGCAATAATGGAGATAGCCATTCATATATATGATGACAGTTATTTTTAAAAAATTATTTAATGCTCTGTGTTTATAATTACTGTGGGTATTCAGCTGATCTAAGCTTATACAACAGGACAACCCTTTGTGGGCTGCTAGATGATGAGTTGTATTATAAAATAAAGATTTCCTACACTTATACTGACAAAGCTCATATCCAACCCAAAACCCCCAGGCTGCACTTTGAGGGGCCCAGGTCTGAGTGTAGCAAGATGCACTATTCTGGCCTGAAGCATAAGGTCTCGATTCAGGTGCCAAAAGGAAACACTAAGGCAGTCAAAGATTTCTCTCTACCAGTGCTGCCAAACAGGCTTTTAAAAGCACAGACAGACAGACATTCTTATACTACATGCACGGAAATGGGACACAAAGTGCTACATATGTTAATGTCAAGCTTGCTACCATCATTTCTCTTAAGTATCCATGACATTTTCTTATCAGTTCTATATATGAGAAAGCAAAACCTTTTATAATTACACACTATGATGACTATTTTACTAAAAAAAGTATTTTCAATTAATTTTAGTGCTCCTTTAGAAGTGTGTGTGCAAAGGAGAGAGGGAGGGAGGAGGGGAAGGAGACAAGGAGGGAACACATTTCTGAGTGTTGTTTTTTCCTCCAAAACCACCCAATATGGTCAATTTTGTTTTAAAGTGTTAGATTTAGGAAATTTTCCTCGGTGAGGAACAAACAGAAAAGCAGGAGGTCTAAACAAAAGCAAATTAAATCAAGACAAGGACATCAAAAACAAATTTGGCTTTACTTTTCGGTGGAAGTTGGTCCTATATCTAACACTGCACAAGGTTTCTTGCACAATGAAAAGAGAAGCAGAAGTCCCTTACACTGCCTCGCTTTGCCAGAGAATCACCGTAGTCTGCTGGCAAAGTCCGCTTGCTGGACTTTTTCTGCTCATGTTCAACTGCATCTTCAATTATAGGCTCAAGCCTCATCTGGACAAACACCAAAGATTGGGATCAATGTCTTTTCATTATACAAAGAAAGATCTAATACCCTGTTTATGTCTCTGCAGTCCAATTAAACAAAGGTATAACTAGCAGGCGTCAGAGTTAAAGAAAATGCAAAACCCCAGCAGTGACAAAAATCAGACATTCTAGGTCCCGACTTCACCTCTTGACACATTCAAGGTTTTAAGGTCTGTTTCTGAGACCTGGTTGGGATTTCAGCATCTTCATTCAAGATCCCACCCAGGAAACTAATCCATTAAAATCCCACAATTTAAGTAAAATGCTTTCCCCACAAATTTCACAAAGAATATTATCTGACAATATACTCCCCAACCTTCCCAACCCAGGTAGCAAACTCCTTAGAGACAAGGCTGGTGGGCAAACCTCGGCTGCTCTGCACGCACCGCAACGCCGCCCTGCATTACCTCTGTGAGCACCGTGGTGTCGTAGGACGGCTGGTACTTTTCTTTTTCATGAGCAGTTCTCTTCTCCATCTTCTCTCGGTCAGTTTTTTGTTTCCTGTCTGCACCTTTAGGCTTAAAAATGAGGCAGATTATTTCATCCACCAGCTTCAGACAATCACATTTACAAGCAACACTGGGCCTTAATTACTGAAAGCCTACTTCCCATCTCTTACCTTAAAAACTTTGATTTGACAGCTGGCTGAGTGTAGATGATCTGTGTATTCTCCATTTTCATTCTGCTTAAAGGTGTCCACCTGGATCCTAAAAGGCACTCCCTTCTCACCTCCATGCTTCCGTGGTGTAAATTCCGTGCTGATGCAGTGTACCTAGAAAGCAATGCCAGCTGAACTGGATCCAAAGCACTGCCCCACTCCTTACCCTCTACTGGTTGCCTCGCAGATGTCCTGCCACAGCTGTAAATTCTACATCCTTTAAAACAAACTCCCACATATCTGCCAGGTATCTGTCACAAATTTCTCTGTGTTTAATATATAGCTTTCCTTTCACAAATCCAACTAAGCCTTTCTGAACGTTTGGGAAGGAGCTCTTCCCTATTACAGTAACTCTTCTCTAATGCAGGACTTGCTCCCATCACGGGCACCAGGCCAGTGGCTTCCTGAGTACATCCCTGACATCCCGTCAGGACTGTGCACTGCTCTCCGATCCAGGGTTAAGCCACGCATGTGGCTCAATTCACAGTGATCATCAACTCATCATTCAAAGCCTCTGCTGTTGGCCCTCTCCTGCCATTACCCCAACTCAGCCAGCCAATCAGCTTGCTGCTGTTCCTACGGCTGTCAGTGTGTGACACTCCGCCGGGGGGAAGTCAGAAAGCCCAGTACTCGCCCTACCGGCATCCACCAAAACTCTTCCATCAGCCCTTCAAAGTTCAGAGGCTTCTGCAGGCAATGGCCATTTCCTCCACTAGTCCCCTCTCCCAATGCCATCATGATGAAGCTCAGCAGTGCAGAGCATCAGTAACAAGACCATTAATTTCTGTCTGTTACACATCCCCTCTTCTAATGACTCAAAGCCAAAACAGATCTGTGGTGACTACAATGACTCCTATTACAGTCAACTAATAGGAACCATGTCCCTAACGGTTCCCAGTTGATGGGGAATATTGGTAGACCACAAGAATGCAAAATGCTAAAGATTCTTTGCAGTTCACACATGCCAGAACTCGCTCGGGCTGCTCAGCGGTTCAGCAGTTTTCCATCTCTACGCAAGATTAGCTACTCAGTAGTTTCTATCCCACCACTTGCAAATTTGAACACCCTGCATATTAGAATTACCATTGGTTTTATTTTATATTTAATTAACTAACATATGTTTTTGAAAAATCATGTTTTAGAGCTACAAACTGAGCGTGTGTGGCTAAAAAGAAGTGCCCAGGAACTGCTTTAAAGTATGCCACCAATAACTGAAAAGAGGCAAACTACTAGTAACTACTGAAGCCAGGTGCTGGTTCACAATGTTTTGCATGGATACATTATTATTATTCTCTTGCTTTTGTAGGGTTTGAAAACTTCAGTATTAGCATGTGTTTAAATAATGCTAGAGAGAATTTTCAATCATATCCTTTTAAACTGCAGCTTCTATTCAAGAGAAATGCATCTTATGAAAATGGATTTTATTGTTACCACCAGCAGAAAAGTAACATTTGAATAATGTATAGATCATATATCTTTATGTGTTAGTCTATAAATGATGGATTTAGTAAATTAAATCTAGTGAGATATAAATGTGTACACATAGAAGACATTACAAGACAGTTTACAAATAAGCATTTAAAGAGATATCATGCATCAAGAATTTAATCTCAGTCATGGCATTCTACATGACTAGCCTACTGTGCTTCTAATAATGGCAAAATCCAAACCTGAATGAAAGCAGATGTGCGTTTTGCAGGGTCCCACAGAAATTCAACCGCGTTTAACTGGCTCAGATTTGTCCTTGTGTCAATGATTCCCACAGACATTGGAATATCTACGTTTTGAAAACAAGTTACACAGAAACTCATCTGCTATGAATAATTAAAAAGCTTACAACTTATTATAATTATGTTCTGATGAGGTATTATACCATATGCTGAACTCTTTCCTTCAATGTTCTCCATCGTCAACCACTTTACCATCAAAACCCACCTAGTGCACATCATACATTCTCCCACCATGATTTACTTCAGTTATTAAGACTAGGATGGATGGTGCCAATGGAGAATTAAATAAATGGTTTCAAGTTTATAAAATTCCTGGCTCAGGAATTTTAGCACCAAAAATGACATTTTTAACTAAAACCCACCCCAGGCATACAGGATCTACTAACACCAAAACTCTCTCCACACAGTTACACACAGTGCCACATACAAATGGGTAGAGCTGAACAACTGTCATGTTCATGTCTCTACAGTCTGCCAGCAGCCACTGGTACCTAAGTCAAGAAGTCTGTCTCCTGGGCGGTTCCACTTCCAACCTTCAAGTTGCTGATGCTCTGTATACTGTAGCCGTCTGTCATGGAATACAACTCTTATGATGCTCTATGGAATAAGTGGGGAAAGGGAATACTTTTAAACTATTCCAGCTAAAATGCAGAAACATGGTCACTTCTTATGCATTAACCTGTAACTGAAGAGCATACAAAAACAAATTCTGCTTTAAACATTCGTAAATGAACTTTTTACGGTTACCTGGATTACAGGTACAATTACTTGGCATAAAGAATTAGAACTCAAAAGTGAAAGGTGCAAATAAAATGGTTATTTATGTAAAACTTTTAATTGAAAATTTAATATTGCAATCCAAAATTAAGGTACATGCCCATAAAACCAGTGAAAAAAAATTACATTTCTATGAAAAAAAGATGCACACAGGAATTACTAAAATGGAAAGGCGAAATAAAACAGAGAAACGCAGGCACAATGGTAAAACCATTCATTTAAAGTAATAGTTAATAATTGGGTTCTTTTAAAAAGATAGTCGAAATTGGGGGTTGGGGGAGTGTCTGCCCCACCCCACCCTCAAGGAGAACCTACGTGCAAAATTTGTCCTTAATTATTTAACCTGCAAAGTGAGGTTGTCCAAAACAAACAACAGACAAACTTCATCCAACTTCAGGCCCCAAGGAAAGACTTTCACTCTACTCACACACTCTAGGCCGATTCTTTGGTCTCCACCCATCCCAGCTTAACCTCCCATAGATTTGCAATGCCAACCACTGTTTCATTCCAGGACCAGGAAAACCAGTCATCAAACTGCATTCAGATACCAGATTTGCACCAATTAGTGTTTCTGACACACATAAATAACTGTTCTTCAGAGTATGATGCGGTAAGATAATCACATTTCCAGTAGACTTTCTGCTGGTTTGAACAGGAAATCTGTTAGCAATACATATAGACACTACTTTTAGTGTCCCTGCCTCCTGTTCTCCCCAATTAGTGTCCAAAATATAAGCGATAAATATTTTGAAGAGAACCACTTAAAAGTAGCAGTATTTTTATTTTAAATAGTTAAAAAAGAGCCCAAGTCATCAGGACCAATGCAGAGATCTATAAAAGCAGCCACCACTCCCATCCATACCCTCCTTACTCACTGCACCCACATCCACAGGGCCCACCTACCCAGCCAGTCCACCAGCACCCGCTTCACACCATTGCCTGAGATCAGCAAAGCCCTCACTGGGATGGTGCCTGGGGCTAGTGGGGCCCAATTCACCTCTGCCAGCAGGTTGATCTCTCAGAAGAAAGTGCAGCCCTGAAAGCGTCATGATTTGATTCTTCCATATTTAGCAAGAGCCAGATTACATTAACAAATTCAGAAGAAAACAGTTACTAGATTTCAGAGCTATACTAAAATCCACTCTGGGCCAGACTACAATTAAGATAGTACAATAAGGACTATGAAAGGAGGACCACAGCCAAGAAATTGCAAGACATAGAAACTGCTTAAATGAAATTGGAAGGGAAAAAGTTATCTGGAGTTTTGCCTATAAGGAGAGTGAATACACCCAGAGAAGTAGTGACGGATAAAGGGGCCTAACAGTAAGACAAAGCCAGAGCAAGCATATCACTGAATATGCTGCACACATTCAACAAGTTCCAAAGCACTCAGCACCTGAGCCCCAAGATTCCCCATCAAGAGTAGCGTCAAAGATAACGGCCAGGAGATTAAACTCTGGATGGTTGCAGAATATTTTAGGGATCCTCGAGCTGAAGGATGTGATTTTTAAGAAATTCATCCTATAGTCTTTGGTGGTAGCAGACCATAGTTCTGAATACCAGGCAAGCTCTCAGGACTGATGATGATGTATTCTGGCATATTCACCAAGAATCAGTCATGTGGCTTATCAAATATAAGGTGATACTGATTTAAGACCTTTCAAAAATTAGCCTTTCCAATCTGCAAGCTAACTATTTAGGAGTACTGATACTTTCAAAGTAAGCAGTGTCCTTGTCCAGGCAGAATATGCTAGTGCAAAGCCAGTGAACACCCACTTACGTGCACTTACGCACACAAACACCCAGGAAACCGTGCGCTTACGGCTGACTGCCCTCCACTCTCAACAGTTCATTAGCTCATAATGAAGAGTCATTTTTGCCTAAACTTCTTAATTTGCACTAATTTTGTATATTAAATGTTTTCATGTTTTAGTTTGGAACTAAATCCAAGAGCATGACATAAAGCCACCATTTATGCAACTACTTAATTAAGCTTGCCATTGCCATTCCAAGCTTACTTGACAGGTATTTTAAGTAGTTTGCCAGAAATATTTTAAGCATTAAATCTCACCCAGCAGACTGGATATCTGTAAATCTTACCATCTATTCAGGGAACTGCCCTAGAAAGCCAGCTCCTCTTCACTTGAAAATGATAAGCTGCTTCTTCACCACTATGATGGAAACTTGATTTTGTCATTTGGTCTAGATGTCAAAGACTGTTATAGTCTCCTGAGAACACTGAATAGTCATGAATGGTGAACTGAGTTAAAGTTACTACTTAAAATATGAGTTAAAATTATGAGTTAGTAGCTTCTGCTGCTGTGCCAGGAGCTGCTTGTATGCTCGTCCCATGCGGCCCTGGAACCTCTTTTGTGAAGTGGCAGCTGAGGAGACTTGGGCGCTTGCCACAGCCAAGAAGTCAGGGGAAGGAGTCACTAAGAGGAAGGATCATATTAATTGGAAGGTGGTAGGTCAGGGTAGTTCTGTGGTGCAGTTAAATTTGAGAGGTATACACCACTTAGTAAACTAATGAAAGCCTATTGTGAACAACGGCTTGTCATCGAGGCAGATCAGATTCCGATTTGACAAGCAGCCAGTCAATGAAAGACACACCTGCACAGCTGGAAATGGAGGATGAAGACACAACTGATGTGTTCCAGCAGCAGAGAGGAGGTGTCTACTCAAAAGGGAGCCTGCTGCTTTATTCCAGAGCTGCTCCTCCAGGCCAGGAAGCCATTTGCAATGAGAAAACCGCAGTATGGTTCCACCACATCCTACTAACTACAGTATAGCTTTCTCTATTCTTTCATTTTTCTCCCTTCCCCATTCCTTTACGATACAGGAAGTAACTGTGTGTGTGCACAAGCACACTGTAGCTTTTTTAACTAAATAAAAAATGGTACATTCTGATCGACAGCAAATGAGGTGGGAAGGGGAAAAGTACTGGCCAAGACAAGATACCCCCTTTCTCTATTAGTGGCATGTTCATTCCGCTTTTATCTTTACATTCCAGTAAGTTATTTTGCTCTGTTTAACAACAAAAAGAACAATACAAAAAACCTTGCATACCTTGGTCTATTGGACAATTTTAGTGTTTTTCATTTATTACTGTAAAGCCATGGACAATTTGGTAACTTTTTTGTATGTAGCTGTTACATGTAGGGCAATCTGTCTTTAAGCAGGGATAAATACTTTAAAAGAAATTAATCCTAGATAGTTTTCCCTCCAAGTCAAGCATCTTGTTTAAATAGACTTCTTGTTTAAAAAAAAATAATGAATTAGTACATTCTACAGTCCAGCAAAAAAAAAGAATAAAGAAAGAAGAAACAAGCACAAAGAAAAAACAAGCACAAGCATCTTGTCACATAAAGACAAGATGAGGCAATTGTTGGTAACTGTCAAAGCCAGGCGGGGAGCTGAACCATGAGAACTCATGGTGCAGGTGTATTTATCATACGCCACACCACAATGAATACATTTGCATTCAGAGAACCATCCTCCCTGCTTCTGGGGATGTTTAAATTTGACTATAATAGCAAGTTAAGAGAGTATTCTACCATTTTTGAATCCAGTTTTATGGACCTCAATATAGAACCCATCAAATCCTATTCCATTTTCTATTAGAACCTACAATTAAAACTATTTTCTAATACTTCACTGACTTCTTTAAAAACTAGCATCTCACAGTCATCAAATGTACTTTCATGGTGATAGAAGAGTTCACCACATATTCCTTTCAAAAAAAAACAAAAAAAACCCTACTCAGTTGAATTTTAACCAGGTGTAGTATAATTGGATCTGCCCAAAGGTGAACTGGGGCACCCAATGGCTTGTATGACAACAAAACAGTTGGGACCAAGATGAGAGCATCTTCTACATTTCTAAGCTCCCAGATTCTGGAAAATGAGAGCTCTTAGTCTAGTTCCTTGACCAAATTGTGGCTATTTGAACCTGGAATCTAGCAGAGTACAGCTGATCCAAACAGGGCTTGCTCACTGCAAACACTGATGACTTAAAAATGGTGAATCCAATCAGTGTTTGCTAAGGATGCCAACAGGAATGAATTAAAAAAAATAAGAGCTTCTAAGTCACCCTCTAGGGAAATGACCAAACCACTAATTGAACACAGATATGACAGACCCAAAGTGCACAAAGCAGATGTGAGAATCTACAAATGACCTCTCTCCTTATGTTCTAAGAATGTTAGGAGCCCTGGGAGTTAGAAGAAATCTGGGAGCTCCTTCCAGGTTGGCAAGACAATATAACCCCATGGGGCTAAGACCCCCTATCTTTCCCTCAACCTCCCATGGTGTATGGAAGAGCACTAAGAAGACTCTCATGCCTCCAAGTGCTGGACAGGTGGCTTTCCCACACATGCTCAATTTGTTAGCATTAGTATTAGTATCCTTTCCCCTGTCAAGGCTGCCTTTCCCATGCTCAGCCTCTAAAAGGGAAGATCCAGAAGGGAGAGTCTTTCAAACAGAATACCTCTCCATACAGAGGGACCAGAGCCAAATATGCCTTTCTGTGGGAGGAAGGAAGATTAGAATCCAAATGCCTGCTTCCGCCTCGCTAATACCTGGCCCTGCTGAAATCTTGCTTTTTCCCAATTAAGCTTTTTCCATAAACCCTGCCCTATAGAATTTATAATAAACTATGGTGCATGAAAGGTAGAGACAGAGGGACCCACCGTGCATGACACAGAGGAAGCAGGGATGGTCTGAAGATATATCCTAAAAGGAATAAGTTAGCTGGCCAATGGCTACACCTCCTATACCTGAAATGACTGACTTCTTCAGTCAGATACATTGGCAGGGTGAACAGAGATTTCAAAGTTTACTTAGCGAAATTTTAAGAGGTGAAATAAAAGGACTTTCTGAAGATTCAGATTAACCCATTTTTCCCCCAGAGCCACACCTAATTTTTCTATGGTACCTTACTTCACCAATTAAGTGCCTCCTTATTTTATAGTACTTATTTTACAGATAAGTAAACAAAATGTAGCCTCTTGCAGCAAAACTGCCACATTTTTCAATCACTGCAATACCTGTTAGAAATTAAAGTCTGGCCTTACCTTTACCAATTTTCCAGTGATCTCAGGCATATCTCCCATTTTCCGATTATCTAGCATCCGAATTTCGTAAGACTGACCTATTTAAGGAAATTGTTGAATTTAAAGAAATTGTGTATCAAAACAACCCGTACAAAGAACATCACTCTGTTTAACATAAACATTGAACTGTCTCTCAAAACATACACAACGCCTGGTGTTAATTTGCTATAGAAGCAAATTCAGGTGGGTCTCTCTCTCTCTCCTTCACATGGCACTGTCCTTTCCTTCTCACACTATTACAGAAGAATGAAGAGTTTCTCTGTCAACTTATTTTCATCTGTTACTCTCTCACACACCAAATTTTTATCATGCACACAGGCATTACCCAAGAACAATTCTTACAACAACTTTACTGAGATGTATTCGCAAATCATAAAAGCCATCCTTTTATAGCAAACAATTAATTGGTTTTTAGTATATCCAGAGTTGTGTAACCATCACCGCTACCAATTCTGGCTGCTTTTATCACCCTAAAAAGAAACCTCATATTCATTAGTAGTCATTCTCTATCCCCCTAGCCCCTTACAACCATTAATCGATCTACTTTTTGCCTCTAGGGAACAGCCTACTCTGAACAGATGATATAAATGGAGTCACACAGGCTGTGGTGTTGGGTTTCCAGCCTCCTTCCCTGAGCTGAGCGTTAAGGTTTCCAAGGTCCCCGGCCTGCTTGAGCAGGCACCTTCACTCCTTTTATGGTCCACTATTACTCCCTGGCACGACCATACCACATTTTGTTCATCCAGTCATCAGCTGATGGACATCTGGGTTGTTTCCACTTTGGGGCTATTGTGTGTGCATTTTTGTATGAACCCAGGTCAAATTTTAATCCTGGAGTTTTTCTCCCTTGTGTCCAATGAACCCAACTCACATTTTCTCACTGCTTAACTAATGTCCTTAAAAAGACAGAAACAGATATTCACACAGCAATCTATATAATTAGGAAAAGAAGCTGCAGCTAAAAGTTATTTAATAATATACTCCAAATCCACAAAAATGATTTCTGGATTATGTGCCATTAAGTAAGAAATTAAGTATCACTTGGTATACGGAAAATCAGCAGTAATTAAAGAGTATTTCTATACCATAAGAAGTCGAGGATCTTTATGATATAACTACTAGTATCCTGCCCACACTCCAAGGGGCTTATAGAAAAATGTACAAAGTGTACTAGAACACAGGACTGAAATACAACAAAGGGTTATAAAAATACAACCAAATCACTCCAAAGCTAGTGAAGGAGAACAATTACATAGTTACATTGCTAAGGAATAGTCCTTAAATCCATTCAACAGACTGAGAGAGATTAACACTAAAAACACCTCTATGGCAAGAGACATTTTTGTAAAGTTAAACATGCAGTATATTTAACAATGGATCTGAATTCAGAAAACAGTAAGAAACTTAAAAATAAAGCACATGAACAGATACCTTTGAAAAATACACAATTATGCATTTAAAATTACATTCAATCTCACAAAAATTGAGGAAGTAAAAATTAATTAAATGTGCTGACACATCAACAAAAAATGTTTCATTAAAAACAATCAGGTGGGCAAGGATGAGGGAGAAATAAACACTTAAAACATGAGGGAATATAAACTGATGAAGTCTACCCGAAATGCCACCTGCTGTGCCTGGTAACAAGTACTGTTATCTTTCAACTTAGGGACTCTGATTAATCAAGACTGAATAAACTTTAAGGGGGGAATATGTGCAACTCACATTACACAAAAAAGGCCATTTCTCCCTTAAGACATAAAGAACTCCTACAGAATCACTAATAAATGTCCAACATTCCCTAGAAAAAAATGAGCAAATGAGATGAACATGTGGTTCACAAAAGAAAGAAGTGCCAATAGCTCTTAAACATGTTAGAAGACATTTTCCCTTCAGAAAAATGCAAATAAAATACCACAGTGAAATCATTTTTCCCCTATCAGGTCAGGATAAACCTCCGAGTCTGAGCTGCCAAGTCCAGAGAAACCCAGCCACGCTCTTTATACTGACAACAGGTGGAGACAGTAGCAATCAGTCTCTCTCTGGGGACACCCTGAAGGTAGAGCCTAAGCAGTTTCTGGTGTACGAGAGGTAAAATGTGAGCCAAAGAGCTGAGGACTACTCTCGATCTTTGGTCAAGGAATTTCCTGATGTGGGAAGATCACCAGAGTAGATTTGGAGGAGAAAATTAAGTGTAACTGAATACATTCAGTCTGAAGTACTTACTGGACATCCAAGTTGAGAAGCTGATTTACAAATCTGGAGCTAAGAGGAAGAGATCCCGAATGCAGATATTAATAGGGGACTTCTCAAGGTATAGTCATCAGGTATTATATAAAGACAGGATCATTTAAGGAGTGCAAAAAAAGAAAAGAGCAGACACTTCTCAGGAATAAAGAGGGTAACCCAAAGAAAAGCAGCACTGAGAAGGGAGGTGGACAAGACGGACCCCCATCTGGCTGCCAAGGAGGAAGGGATGACTTGTCTCACCAGGATTATCTTCTGATCCACAAAAACTCAAAATTCTCAGGACTGGAAGAAATTAAAGACAGGAAGAAATCCCCATGATTCTAACTCCTTTTGTATTGTTTTTCCTAATTAACCTATAACAAGGACACTTCTGTGCTCAATATAATGTGCAATCTGTTTCCACAAATAGATTTCTAAATTTATTGCTCCTATATTAAAGCACTGGAAATTTTTCTTCTAAAATCAAAAGCACGCTTTTAAAAAAGGCTCTGTAACACTTGTTATGCTTTGAATGGTTTCCCTATGGAAACAATGTATGTCTTAGCTTTCTTCCTTCAGTTCTCCCCCACCTCACTCACTATTTAAAATCCATTTGCTTCAACGGTTAAGATCCACTGTGTGGACAACCAGACCTTCACTGGCTTACTTTCTCCCACTGTTTGATCCCCTTCCATAATTCTTCCATAACAACAGAGCTTTCTGAGGCTATGAAGTCTAGGTTCTAGCTGAAATACAAAGAAGGTACCACGATTAATGAAGTATATATAAAGTTAACAAACAGCAACCTTCTGTGAATTGCTAGACCTCATTTTAGCTTTGTCTTTCAAATTTACCTTTCATATTTTAGTTTTTCTGCTCTCTTTTTTGGCTTAGAAATGCAAAAGCATTGAGAGAGTTGAAAAACACCATTATTATGAGTATATGTCCCCATTCACCTTGAATATAAAGGTCTGGCTTCCTCAGATGGACTCCAGAGTAACATGGAGCCCAAGATGCAATAGCCCCGCCTTGGCTAAGTTCAAAGCATTTGCTGTAAGGTCCTAACACAGAACTTTATAGCAAGACCAAAGCTAACCTCAACGAAATCTACTATGGTGTAAAATGAAATTAACAAAAAAATTTTCTTTCTTTTTTAAGGCTTCTATCATTTAACAGTATTTTTAACCCAACAGCAATGCTATTTCCTAAGGCCTAAAATCTGTGTGCAAAGGAGCTAGTATTTGCTAATTAACAGAGGATACTCAAAAGTAGAATATGGTCTACAAATGAACAGGTATCTCTGATCCAACAGCAGCAATGAGCTGATCTTGAATAAATCAAGGGGTTAAGATCAAAAGTCTTGCTCACACCATGCAGTGTGGAAGCATCAAAGACCGAGATGGGGCTTAAGACAAGGGGCAGCCTATTCCAGCCAGATCCCTGCTCAAAGGGAGAGCCAACTGCATTTACTCCACCCTCTGTGGCTCCATGGTAGGACTACAGATTTTTACTCCACAAACTGAGAGACTTAGCGCCTCTTGTTACCTAAAAGCCGAGGACAATTGTCAGGCATACCCAGGAAAAATGCAAATACGGTTTTAAAACTCTGTACTGCTACTGTTCAGACCATACAAAATTTGACACTCTAAGGCATCAATACAACTTGGGAAACTTATTCCCATTTCTATCTGACTGAGTTAAAACTACACAGCATTTAGCTTTTCTTCTTTACTGTGTTACACAATGAATATTCTTCAGCAATAACTGCCCAAGAACAAGAAGGTGAGCAAAGAGCTTTCAGGAGAGATGACTGGCAGTGAGCAGGCTGCGGCCACAGAAAATAACAGAGCCCCAGCTGCGTGCCAACCCTCCTTGGGGGAAATCCGTCTATACAAGGTGGTTGTGACGGAGGTTCACTTATTTGTCTGAATATTTGAAGGACTAAAAAATTGAAGTATAGTCCCCAGACCAGCAGAATGAGCATCCACCTGGAAGCATGTCAATTCTCTGGCCCTACTCCAGACCTACTGAATCAGACTCGATGGTTCAGCATTCATGTCTGGCAAGCCCTCTAGGTGGTCCTGATGATGCTCAAGTTGGGGCACCAATGCTTTATGTAAAACTACAAATAACCAGCCAGTCAACAAAACAAAAGTGGTCAGGACCTTCTGGGAATAGCTACATACTCAAAGGCTCTGAGTAATGTAAGAACTAACTAACCTTTTATCAGCAGCTAAACAAACGCTATAGGATATGTAACTATGAACACTTTCCCAAAGTGCTATACCAGAGAGAAATGGCCAGGTTTGGAACAGTTGTCTATACACTTGCATCATTTCGCACAGGGCTCATTTAATACAATGTTATATGAGCCATCTACAATGTTATGGGTAATAAGACTTCAAACTCCTTTTTAGTTCAAATTATTTGTCTATGTTAAAACTAAAAACTGGGAGGCGGAGCCAGGATGGCGACGTGAGTAGAGAAGTGGAAATCTCCTCCCAAAAACACACAGAGCTATGAAAATATAACAAAGAAAAATCTTCCTAAAACAGAGACCACAGGACACAGGACAACATCCACACCACATCCACACCTGCAAGAACCCAGCGTCTTGTGAAGGGGGTAAGATACAAGCCCTGGCCCGGCTGGACCCGAGCGCCCCTCCCCCCGGCTCCCGGAGGGTGGAAAGAAACCGGAGCGGTTTTTTTTTTTTTGGCGAGCGCTTTTTGGAAGCCTTAGAGGGACGGGCCCCCGTTGCTGGGGAGGCAGGGTGGCGGGACCGGTGAGGAGGTGCCTGGGAACGGCG